TATTATGTTTTATTTTATTATTTTATTATGTTTTATTTTTATTAAATTAATATTATGTTTTATTTTTATTATTTTATTATGTTTTATTTTTATTATTTTATTATGTTTTATTTTTATTATTTTATTACTTACATTCTACGTGACTTTACCGAAAGAACCAAGAAGAAGGGTGGTGTAAATTTACGATGATTGATGTTGTGGTGGTGGTGGTGTCAGTTTCAATAAATTATGGAATACAAAATAAATGTTGTACGGCTTTTTGGCTATTTCATTTCACGTTCTTTTCAGTCGTCTGTCATTAGAGAGAGCGGGTGTGGTTCTTCACTGCAGTCGTGCGTAGGGTGACACGGACAACACCACGGGTGGGAAATCACAGCGGTATGGCTTGCGGACATTGCCAAGCTCAAGAGAAGAATAATAATAATCATTGCCTGGGCTAATTCATGATGCTGACTACCTCGCCTGGTGTACAAGAGGTCGTGGGTTCGATCCCGACCCTGACGCCTGCTGCTGTATATTTGGAGTTTGCGTCTCTCATCATCATCACGGTGGCTAGGAGACGTTAACTACCTCGCCTGGTAAACCGTGTGGGTTGACACGGTATGCAAACGCGTTACAAAAACCAGACAGTGTATATGAGAGAGAGAAAAAAATAAACATATGGGGCCGTCCATAAATGACGTCACGCGATTTTGGACGATTTTTGACCCCCCCCCCTCGTCACACGGCGTCACAAAAAGTCAACCCCCCCCCCCCTCAAATATGACGTCACAAAGCTCTGCCCCCCCCTCCCCAAAAAAAATCATAATTACATTTTGAAAATAAAACATGCTTCAAGTCGCTTTAAACTATTGTCATTGTAGTGCGTATTTAATGTGGCGCTGCGCTCTGATGTCGTAGGAAGAAAACATTTATTAAAAAGTCTATTTAATTAAGTAGAACGTAAATAATAAAATAAATAAAACATAATAAAATAATTCTCACGACGTTTCGGCCACAACGCAAGCAGCCGTCCTCAGGTGAAGAAGACCAGGTCTGAGGACGGCTGCTTGCGTTGTGGCCGAAACGTCGTGAGAATTATTTTATTATGTTTTTATTTTTATGATTTTATTATTTCCCTTCTACGTGACTTTACCGAAATAACCAAGAAGAATGAATCCCTGCAGTCACGAAAGAAGCTTTAAATCGAAATTTAATTATGTTTTATTATTTTATTATTTTATTATTTCCCTTCTACGTGGACTTTACCGAAATAACCAAGAAGATGAATCCCTGCAGTCACGAAAGAAGCTTTAAATCGAAATTTAAGTAGAACGTGTTGTCTATATTTATTTAAAGTTGCAGCATTTTGATGTGTGACGTCACATTTCTCAAACGCCCCCCCTCCCCTATAGTGCGTGACGTCATTTATGGGCGTTCCCTAAGAATTTATTTAAATAAAAATCGCGTTTCTCTCGCCGTAGTCGCTACTCTTTGACCTTTCCACCTCTCTCAATGAACTCAACGTGAACGCACCACCAAACAACAACAACACAACAACAACATAACAACACAACAACAACTGTTGTTGTTATTATTGCTAACAACTCGTAAACTCCGCGCGCGCTAACACACAAACACTAGCAACCTCGTGAACAAACGAGAGTGAGGTGAAAAACAACAATGAACTATCCTCCTGAGATTGAATAACTAGTGACAATATTACATTAACATTTTAGTAAAACACTTATTTGTGTTTTATATATATATACAGATAGATAAAGAGGAAGGGTGGTGAAGTGAAGTGAAGTTGTGCCCGGCTCGCAAAGCCTGCCTCAGTAGGCCCACGGCCGCCTGCCTGAGGCGAGTTTATTTAAAGACACAACAACAAAAAGGTAATCGATACAAACTTTTAACTCGTAAATATTCACCGCTCGCGGTTAATATGTTTTGTTTAAATGTCATTGAATGCGGGGGGTGGTTTGGTTTATTTTCTTGCGTCGGTTGCCTCAGGCCCGAAAATCCCCTCACGAATCTCGATTTTTTTTAAAGTTGTTAAGTCGCGAATTTTTCCCGCTTAAAATTCAACGTTTTCGTTTCGATAAAAGTTATCGCCAAACCCTCCCCTGCTCTTTGGTGCTTTCGGTAAAGCCACGGAGAAAGAAAATAAATAATAGAGTACGACGTTTCGATTGCAACACAAGCAACCATCATCAGGTAGAACTACATTTGAGACAGAGACAATGTTGTGTCTCTCTCTGCTTGTGTGGCTGTCTGCTTGTGTGTCTGTGTCTATGTTGTGTCTGTCTGTGTGTCTATGTTGTGTGTCTCTGTGTGTGTCTCTCTCTGCTTGTGTCTCTCTCTGTGTGTCTATGTTGTGTGTCTATGTTGTGTTGTCTCTCTCTGCTTGTGTGTCTCTCTGCTTGTGTGTCTCTCTGCTTGTGTGTCTGTGTCTATGTTGTGTCTGTCTGTGTGTCTATGTTGTGTGTCTCTGTGTGTGTCTCTCTGCTTGTGTCTCTCTCTGTGTGTCTATGTTGTGTGTCTATGTTGTGTTGTCTCTCTCTGCTTGTGTGGCTGTCTGCTTGTGTGTCTGTGTCTATGTTGTGTCTGTCTGTGTGTCTATGTTGTGTGTCTCTGTGTGTGTCTCTCTGCTTGTGTCTCTCTCTGTGTGTCTATGTTGTGTGTCTATGTTGTGTTGTCTCTCTCTGCTTGTGTGGCTGTCTGCTTGTGTGTCTGTGTCTATGTTGTGTCTGTCTGTGTGTCTATGTTGTGTGTCTCTGTGTGTGTCTCTCTCTGCTTGTGTCTCTCTCTGTGTGTCTATGTTGTGTGTCTATGTTGTGTTGTCTCTCTCTGCTTGTGTGGCTGTCTGCTTGTGTGTCTGTGTCTATGTTGTGTCTGTCTGTGTGTCTATGTTGTGTGTCTCTGTGTGTGTCTCTCTCTGCTTGTGTCTCTCTCTGTGTGTCTATGTTGTGTGTCTATGTTGTGTTGTCTCTCTCTGCTTGTGTGTCTCTCTGCTTGTGTGTCTGTCTATGTTGTGTCTATGTTGTGTGTCTCTGTGTGTGTCTCTCTCTGCTTGTGTCTCTCTCTGTGTGTCTATGTTGTGTGTCTATGTTGTGTTGTCTCTCTCTGCTTGTGTGTCTCTCTGCTTGTGTGTCTCTCTGCTTGTGTCTGTGTGTCTATGTTGTGTGTCTCTGTGTGTGTCTCTCTCTGCTTGTGTCTCTCTCTGTGTGTCTATGTTGTGTGTCTATGTTGTGTTGTCTCTCTCTCTGCTTGTGTGTCTCTGTGCTTGTGTGTCTGTCTATGTTGTGTCTATGTTGTGTGTCTCTGTGTGTGTCTCTCTGTGTCTGCTTGTGTCTCTCTCTGTGTGTCTATGTTGTGTGTCTATGTTGTGTTGTCTCTCTCTGCTTGTGTGTCTCTCTGCTTGTGTGTCTCTCTGCTTGTGTGTCTCTCTGCTTGTGTCTGTGTGTCTATGTTGTGTGTCTCTGTGTGTGTCTCTCTCTGCTTGTGTGTCTCTCTGTGTCTGCGTGTGTCTCTCTCTGCTTGTGTGTCTGTCTGTGTGTCTCCGTGTCTGTGTTTTGTCTCTCAAATGTAGTTCTACCCGACGACGGCTGCTTGTGTCGCAATCGAAACGTCGTACTCCATTACTTAATTTATTTTCTTTCTACGTGACTTTACCGAAAGAATCAAAGAGTAGAACCTGCCGGTGGTGGTGGTGGCTTCTTCGGCGTCATAGCCAGCGTCTCACCGCGTTCGGAAGGTTACGACTTTAAATCGTGATTGTTGGTGCCCGATTTGAATCACTAGAGGCCTCTTACACGAGTCTACGGGTCTCTGTGCGAGTCTGTGGGTCTCTGTGGTGGTCTCAGTTTATGGGTCTCTATGTGAGTCTATGGGTCTCTGTGGTGGTCTCAGTGAGTCTGTGGGTCTTTGTGCGAGTCTGTGGGTCTCTGTGGTGGTCTCAGTGAGTCTGTGGGTCTCTGTGGTGGTCTCAGTGAGTCTGTGGGTCTCTGTGGTGGTCTCAGTGAGTCTGTGAGTCTCTGTGGTGGTCTCAGTGAGTCTATGGGTCTCTGTGGTGGTCTCTGTGAGTCTATGGGTCTCTGTGGTGGTCTCAGTGAGTCTATGGGTCTCTGTGGTGGTCTCAGTGAGTCTATGGGTCTCTATGTGAGTATGAGTCTCTGTGATGGTCTCAGTGAGTCATTGGATCTCAATGACTGGGTCTCTATATGATTATATTGGTTTCAATGTGATGGTCTCAGGGAGTCTGTGGGTCTCTATATGAGTGGGTCTCTGTGATGGTCTCAATGAGTCTGTGGGTCTCTATATGAGTGTGGGTTTCTATGTAAGTTTGTGGGTCTCTGTGGTGGTCTCAGTGAGTTTGTGGGTCTCTACGTGAGTCTATGGGTCTCTGTGATGGTTAAAGTGAGTCTATGGGTCTCTATGTGAGTCTATGGGTCTCTGTAATGGTCTCAATGAGTCTGTGGGTCTCTATATGAGTGTGGGTTTTTCTGTGATGGTCTCAGTGAGTCTGGAACTCAATGAGTCTATGGGTCTCTATGTGAGTCTATGGGTCTCTATGTGAGTCTATGGGTCTCTATGTGAGTCTATGGGTATCTATGTGAGTCTATGGGTCTCTATGTGAGTATATGTGTCTCTATGTGAGTCTATGGGCCTCTATGTGAGTCTATGGGTCTCAGTGATGGTCTCAGGGAGTCTATGGGTCTCTGTGGTGGGCTCAGTGAGTCTATGGGTCTCTCTGATGGTCTCAAGTGAGTCTGTGGGTCTCTATATGAGTGTGGGTTTCTATGTAAGTCTGTGGGTCTCTTTGGTGGTCTCAGTGAGTCTGGAACTCGGTAAGTCTATGGGTCTCTATGTGAGTCTATGGGTCTCAGTGATGGTCTCAGGGAGTCTATGGGTCTCTGATGGTCTCAGTGAGTCATTGGATCTCAATGACTTTGGGTCTCGATATGAGTATATTGGTTTCTATGTGATGTCTCGGTGAGTATAGGTCTCTATGGAAATCTGTCGGTCTTTGTGATGGTCTCAGTGAGTCTATGGGTCTCTATGTGATGGTCTCAGTGAGGCCATGGGTCTCTATGTGAGTATTTGGGGGCGCTACGGTGGCGAGATGTCAACTACCTCGCCTGGTATGCAGGAGGTCGTGGTTTAGATCCCGACCATGATGCCTGCTGCTGTATATTTGGAGTTTGCGGTGTCTCTCTCCCCGTGGTCGCGTGGATTTTTCTCCGGGTCCTCCGTTTTTTCCCTCCACATTGATCAACATGACACGAGTATTTGACTGCTATACACTTTCACGCGATAAGCCGCTACGTTGAGCTATCCTTTGTGGCCGGGTCGCTTCAGGAAAAAATAGCTACACAGCTCGGTAAGTAATTGTTATTCTACGCGATGGATTAATCTTGTGCAATCCGTCTGTCCGTCCGTCCGTCCGTCCGTAGATCCGCCGCAAATCACAATGACGACCGCTCCCCGGCTCCTGCTGATGTGCGGGAGACTTCGCGCCATCGTAAGCAGATTGCCCAGAGGCATTGGGCAAGGTCATATGGCACAGATGTCATCGTCGTCGTCGTCGTCACCACCACCGTCATCGTTACCATCGTCATCGTTACCATCGTCACAGCCGCCGTCATATTCCAGTGGACTTGATGGGTCACCGAGCGACGTTGACGTCAAAGCTCTGCTTCAGGAGGAGGACACGGCGGATGATGGCAGCGTCCGTGACGACAAGGTAACACGCGTTGCGGTCCATGGGCAATATGTTATGGCTTTGAAAAATATATATTTGTGTGTTTCGATTTAAAGCTTTCGTGACTGCAGGGATTCATCTTCTTGGTTCTTTCGGTAAAGTCACGTAGAATGGAAATAAGCAAATAATAAAAATACAACATAATAATAAAATAATAAAAATAAACCATTTTTTGTTATGTTTTCTTTTATTATTTTATTATTTCCATTCGGCCACATTCATTCAGACTCTGTCCTCTCCACAGACCTGTTCTTCACCTGAGGACGGCTGCTTGCGTTGTGGCCGAAACGTCGTGAGAATTATTTTATTATGTTTTATTATTATTATTTTATTATTTCCATTCTACGTGACTTTACCGAAAGAACCAAGAAGATATATATTTGTGCTTTACAAAAAGCGTTTTTTATTGGAGTGATGAATTGCAGTTATTCTCCATAAGCACTTGCTCATCTGCCCCACTCCTCACCCCATTCTCTTCTCTGACCTCTTCACTTCTCTTGGCATTGCGACTTCCACCCTCTCTCATCCTCCCCCTCCTCTCCATTATCACGAGCGTCACCGCAATCTCCCTTTGCCTCCTCCACCTCCTCTCTCCTCGCATCACCTCCTCCTCCCTCCACCCCTCACCCTCCATACTTCCTCCTCCGTCCACCCTCCTTGACATCCATCACACTCGCTCCACCATCACCCTTCCTCCACTCTCCCACCTATCCAACTCCGTTCTAGATTTGAAGCTTTCGTGACTGCAAGGATTCATACTCTTAGTTCTTTCGGTAAAGTCACCATTTTTCGATTTAAAGCTTTCATGACTGCAGGGATTCATCTTCTTGGTTCTTTCGGTAAAGTCACGTAGAAGGGAAGTAATAAAATAATAAAAATAAAATAATTCTCACGACGTTTCGGCCACAACGCCGAAAGTCGGGAGAATTATTTTATTATGTTTTATTTTTATTATTTTATTACTTCCCTTCTACGTGACTTTACCGAAAGAACCAAGAAGATAAAGTCACCATGTAGGTATAAAATGAAATTAAAATTAATAAAAATAAAACAATAAACTCACGACGTTTCGGAGGCAACACAAGTCTCCGTCATCGGGTGGGACCGTCACAGCCAGATTTCTGCATCAACTCCCGTCACCTCTTCCACCTCCCCCGCCACCTCCGTGTGTCTCCGTGTCAGCGCGACAGCTCCGTGCTGCTCTTCCCGGGCCAGGGCAGCCAGTTCGTGGGCATGGCTGCGTCGCTGGTGGAGAGGCACGAGCGGGCGCGGGCGCTGTTCGACGCGGCGCGTCGCGTCCTGGGCTACGACCTGCTTGCGCTGTGCCTCAACGGGCCTGCCGAGCAGCTAAACCGCACGCTGCACTGCCAGCCCGCCGTGTTCGTCACCTCGCTCGCCGCGCTCGAGACGCTGCACGAGGAGGAGCCGGAGGTGACCGTCTGCCCGGTCGTTGAGGGGGGGGCTGAACGGGGCGCGGGAGAGGGGGGGAGAGGGGGACAGAGGGGTTAGGAGATGAGTCGAGGGAGATGAGAGAGCGAGGAAAAGAGTAGAGAGCTACGTAGCTAGTGATAGGTTTTTATCCATCTTCTTGGTTGTTTCGGTAAAGTCACGTAGAAGGGAAATAATAAAATAATAAAATAAAACGTTATAAAATACAATTCTCACGACGTTTCGGCCACAACGCAAGCAGCCGTCCCTCAGGTGAAGAACAGGTCTGTCGGAAAGACAGCGTCTGAATGAACACCACCAAGCCTGGTGGTGTTCATTCAGACGCTGTCTTTCCACGACCTCCTGTATACCAGGCGAGGTAGTTAACATCTCATAGCCACCGTGATGATGATGAGAAACGCAAACACCAAATATACAGCAGCAGCAGGCGTCAGGGTCGAGATCGAACCCACGACCTCCTGTACACCAGGCGAGGTAGTTAACATCTCCTAGCCACCGTGGTGATGATGAGAAACGCAAACTCCAAATACACAGCAGCAGGCGTCAGGGTCGAGATCGAACCCACGACCTCCTGTACACCAGGCGAGGGTGTTAACAACTCACCACCGCGACATGACGTGCACAACACTTTCCCCTAAAGGCCACATGGGGGATCTTTGTTGTCTGTGCTCTGCAGGCAATTGAGAACTGCAAGGCGGTTGCGGGCTTCAGTGTGGGAGAGTTCGCTGCGCTGGTCTTTGCCGGTGCCATGGACTTCAGCGAAGGTACGGGGCGTCTACGTTGAGCCGGAGTCAAGAATTACCCCAATGCTCTGCTTCTACGCTGGGAACGTTTGTCCAACGCTATGAAATGAATGCTTCATGCACGCGGGGGCGGAAACCAAAGTAAACTCAAACCATACTAATAGGGGTTTTTCTCCTTTTTACTGGCAACAAAACTGACACCTTTTGCAAGGAATCATGCTTACATAAACCACAATACTTGCAGTCAAATGCAAACAAAAACAATACTCTGATAATGTATGTATTGTCCTTGAAACTGATTGGTCCACACCAGAGACAGCTTTCTTTGGAGCCTAGTCTCAAATGGTGTTCGACCAGATGACGCCAAAAGGCGCACAGTTCTAAGACACCGCACTACCAGAGTAATGAGAGCTTGGGGTGAGCAGCTACATCACGGGACCTCCTTTGCCAGTACCAAAATATACTAATAGGGTTTTTTTCCCTTTTGATTCCTTGCAAAAGTTGTCAGTTTTGTTGCCAGAAAAAAAGGGGAAAAAACCCTATTAGTAAACTCAAACCATTTAGGTTTTTTTTTTACCGCGTAAAAGTCCACTGAGCAACCTGGCCACATGGTAACGCAACGGGGAGTGGCTTATCGTGGGAGTTTATAGCAGCAAAATACTCTTTAAACGCATATTGACGAATCTTCAAATGTACGGGTATCAGCATCGGGATGGAGCCCACGATCTCCTGAATACCAGGCGAGGGGGATGACGTCTCGCCAGCACGGCGCGCGTGTTTTATACGCGCGGGGCAGGAACAACAGCGGCCGGAGAACACCATCTGAATCACCGAGACTCACAGCGGATTTTGGCCTCGCAGTCAAACAAAGACGGTGGTCACCGCATCGCACGGCGCTTTAACGTGCGCTTCTGCGGCCGTCTGGAACGCTCTTCCTTTCCGATATTAGGAAGCCGCTGGGCGCCTATGCACTTTTATTAAATCGTCGAGATTGACAAACTCGTTTATTTACATCTTCGTGTTTAGTTTGTTGTCCTTCCCCCCCCACCTCCCGATTAGTACGGTTGGCTACGTCAGAGGTTGCAATCGGGTACCCGATACCCGTACCCTACCCGATCCTCGCACCCTGGATACTCTCTGTTCCAGCTACTCCCCTCCGGCAGAAGGCTGCGGTCCATCAAGACCAAAACCTCACGTCATAAAAACAGTTTTTTCCCATCTGCTGTTGGCCTCCTGAACAAGGCCAAGGGCTTAAAATGACTTTTACACTTAAAATGACTGTTACACTTACTATAACATTTTATCTACATAATTACACCTTTCCATACTTACGTGTAATCTTATTTGTATTTTGTATTTTAGCCCTTTGGTATTACTTATACTTTGTAACGTTAGTATAGTTAGAGTGTATACCTTTTATATAAGTTAAGATTCCTACTTGTTCAATGTATGCACCGTCCCGCCATAGTGAATTCCTTGTTTGTGCAAACTTACATGGCGATTAAAACCGTTTCTGATTCTGATACCCGGCTACCCGTACCCAGCCGGGTACGGGTACCCGTTTGCGACCCTGGTGCGGCCGGGTACGGGTACGGGTAAGGAATCAAAACCCGTTTGCGACCTCTGGGCTATGTACGATGCGAAAGAGGTTCAGCATGCATACATCAATTAATTAACTTCTTGGTTCTTTCGGTAAAGTCACGTAGAAGGGAAGTAATATTTTATTACTTCCCTTCCCTTCTACGTGATGACTTTACCGAAAGAACCAAGAAGATGAATCCCTGCAGTCACGAAAGCTTTAAATCGAAATTTAAACATAGGATTCAAGTGATGTGAAACCTCTTCTTGGTTCTTTCGGTAAAGTCACGTAGAAGGGAAATAATAAAACTAAAACATAATAAAAGAATTCTCAACCCTTTGGTGATAATTATTTTATTATGTTTTATTTTTATTATTTTATTATTTCCCTTCTACGTGACTTTACCGAAAGAACCAAGAAGATGAATTCCTGCAGTCACGAAAGCTTTAAATCAAAATCAATTAATTAGTAAATGAATCCCCAGTGAACGTGCTCACGTCGGGCTAACGCCAGGTAAACGTCGTGTCGACGTCAGCCTAACATTGCACTCTCCCCACCCCTCCCCCGGTAGCCCTGTACTGCGTGCAGAAGCGTGCGGAGGCCATGGAGGCCGCGAGCTCGCAGGGTGGTGCTCCCCACGGCATGCTGTCGGTGTCGGCGCGCCACGCCTTCCGCCCGCCCGCCGTGTGCCACGAGGCGCGCGAGCACTGCCTCTCCGCCGCGGCCGGCTCGGCCGAGCGGGTCGCCGAACCCGTGTGCCTCGTTGCCTCCTACCTGTGCCCCGACGTGCGGGTGCTGGCCGGTCACGTGCAGGTCAGGGTTCGACTCCCGCCACGGGGGAGGTGGGAGCCGGGGGGTTGTGCTCAGCCCACGTGTCGCTCTCTCGCTCGCTCGCTCTGTCGCTCGCTCGCTCGCACGCTCGCTGTATGCTGCGGTTACTGCTGCAGTCTTGTGAGACTGATATTCTTATTCTTGATACAGCAGTCGTGCTGTGACGGGTCCACCTGAAGACGGAAGCTTGTGTTGCCTCCGAAACGTCGTGATTTTTATTTTATTTTTATTTGACTTTTATTAATTTAAATTTTTTACCTACGTGACTTTATCTTCTTGGTTCTTCGAAAAAAACTAAGAATATGAATCCTTGCAGTCACGAAAGCTTCAAATCTAGAACTAATACCCTCTACGGGGAGGAATTCCACCTATCTGTTAGAGTTTTTAACAGACAACGAGACAAGAAGTCACAGCTTATCGAGACGCTGGCCTTCCTCAAGAGATGCCGAGATAACAGGTTGGAAATTATCTCACTTGATACAGCTATCGTGCTGTGACGGTTCCACCTGAAGACGGAAGCTTGTGTAGCCTCCGAAACGTCGTGATTTTTATTTTATTTTTATTTTACTTTTATTAATTTGTAATTAAATTGTTTACCTAAGTACTTGATACAGCAAGCGTGCTGTGACGGTTCCACCTGAAGACGGAAGCTTGTGTTGCCTCCGAAAAGTCGTGATTTTTAATTAATATATTTTATTTTACTTTAATTAATTTTAATTAAAAAAAAAAAAATTACCTACGTGACTTTACCGAAAAAAAACCCTAGAATATGAATCCTTGCAGTCACGAAAGCTTCAAATCTAGAATTGTGAGATTGATTCGCGCACATGCGGTGACCTCGTATGCGCGATTGCAAGGTAGCGGCGGTGTAGCGGTTAGCGCCACGCTGAGCTACGAACCCGGCAACCTGATTTTGATTGCCGCTCTCACGGCCATCGCCGGTGACGATTATCTGAACCGGTCTTGGGCCTCCCCCAGGTAGCCTCGAATGAGTAGCCGGTGCGGTGTGTAAACATCGCAACTCGGGAGAGAAAAGCGGATGGGACGTGGCGCTGGTCACCCACCGCCTCGTATACCGTGCCAGCCTTCATAGGTGCTACTCGCAAACAGCACTTGCCCCAACAATCTGTTAAGGCTATAGGGGGGATCTTCGTCTTTGTTTGGCCGTGGTGACATCACCGCTACTTAGTGGCCAACAGCAGTTGTCGTTGTTGGGGTGATGATGTATTTGGCTGCTGTAAATTTGCAGGTGATGATGATACTTCGTTGAGCTTGTCGTTTGTGATTGCCAGGTCGCCTCTGAAAAATAGCGACAAAGCTCTGTGGGCTTTACCTGGTAAAATAAAAAATAGTTGTAGAGTTTTCAATTAGTTATTATAGTTCGTAGTGTGTGTGTGTGTGTGCGCGTGCTAATGGAGGGAGTTGGGTGTGCGCACGCGTGTGTGTGATTGCATAGTAGTAGGGAGCACAGGTGGTGCATCGGCCAGTCATCTCAGTCAGTCAACCCGTGGCACCTGCTGGGTCTGTCCCGTGACCTCCTGCCAGCGTGCGTTCGACACTTCACGTGGCCATAAAGTGCACCTAGCCTGGCACAAGCGCCGTGGTGACGTCACTGCTGCTTAGTGGTAAATGGCGGTTGTTGTGTGTGTCTGCATAGTGGGGAGCACAGGTGGTGCATCGGCCAGTCATCTCAGTCAGTCAACCCGTGGCATCTGGGTCTGTCCCGTGACCTCCTGCCAGCGTGCGTTCGACACTTCACGTGGCCATAAAGTGCACCTAGCCTGGCACAAGCGTCGTGCCGATGTCACCGCCACTTAGTGGCGAACTGCGGTTGTTGTTGCGCTTGCGTGTGTGCGCGTATGTGCGTGTGCGTGTGCATGTGTGCGTGTGTGCGTGCGTGCGTGTGCGTGCGTGCGTGTGTGTGGGGAGCGGTAGTGCAGCGGTTAGCGCGCTGCGCTATAAACCTAGCGACCCTGGGTTCGATTCCCGCTCACGGCCAACACCGGTGACGATTATCTGAACCGGTCCCGGGCCTCCCCTAGGTCGACTCAGCCTGAAATGAGTACCCGGTGCGGTGTGTAAACATCGCCACCGGGGAGACAAAGGCGGCCGGGCGTGGTGCTGGCCACCCACCCCCTCGTGTACCGTGCCGGCC